GTTAGGGAATCTTGTTTTTATTGATGCTGATGGAATAGATGTACTGGTTTTTTGCAGTTTTTAACTTATCATTTACTGGTTTTTTGCATTTTTTGTGATGCAGTTATGGCATCATGATCATGTAGTATTGTAGTTAACTGTTAAATGTTAAGTGTTAAGTGTTAAGTAGTTTTTTTCATTTTTTGTGATGTCTTCTTATATTTCTGATAGATTGAGGGATTGGAGGGCTCTAATACCATTGCTGATAATGTTTTTATTGATGAAATTGAAGAAGTTTGGCCATCTGAAAATGTGGTAGAGTTAGAGCCATGTAACATTCAATGTAATGAAGGAGGTGAAGTTGCTAATGCTAGGAAGCGGAGAAGAATGACATCGGTTGTTTGGGGTTACTTTGAGATGTTGCCTAAGCCAAAAGATGGTGGTAAGCAAAGGTGTAAATGCAAGAAATATGGTGTGACATATTTCTGTGATAGCAAAAATGGCACTACAAATCTAAGACGACACTTGGAAAATTGTAAAAAAAGAAATATGCGTGATATTGGGCAACTCATTTTACAAACAAACTCTGAATCCTCCATTTCTATGGCTGATAGTAAGTTTGATCAGTCAGAATTTTGTGACCTGTTTATTACATGTATCATTATGCATGACTTGCCATTTCAGTGTGTTGAGTGGGTTGGAGTTCGAGCTCTTCTAACTTATCTTCGTCGGGACTTACAGGTGTTTTCAAGAAACACCGCACGAAGTGATTGTATGAAATTATTTAGTAAAGAAAAGAGTAATATACGTTCAGAGTTAGCAAAATTGACAAGTAGAGTGTGCTTAACTTCAGACCTTTGGACTTCTATTAATACAGATGGTTTTATTTGTTTGACAATGCATTTTATAGATAATGATTGGCATTTGCAAAAAAAGATTATAAGGTTTTGTTTGATGCCACCCCCTCATGATGTCATTTTATTGTTTGAAAAGTTGCAATCTCTGATTATGGAGTGGAAAATTGATACCAAACTTTTTAGCATTACTTTGGATAATGCGTCAACAAACAATACCTCAGTTGAATTTTTAAGAAATCGTTTATGTTTACGTGGTGCTTTGCTTTGTGATGGTGAGTTCTTTCATATTCGTTGTACAACACATATTATGAATCTCATAGTTCAAGATGGTCTGAAGGAGGTTGATTCATCAGTAATTAAAATTCGAGAGAGCATTAAATATGTTAAAGACTCTCAAGTGACGAAGCAAAAGTTTGTTGATTGTATCAAACAAAGTTGTCTAGAAGGGAAGAGAGGTTTGCGACAAGATGTTCCAACTAGATGGAACTCCACTTTCATCATGATGGATAGTGTTATTTACTATCGACGAGCTTTTCAGCATTTAGAATTGGGTGATTCAAATTATAAGAATTGCCCAACTAGTGTTGAGTGGGATAAAGTTGAATCTATTTGGCAATTCTTGGCCCCTTTCTACGAGATCACTTGTGTTATATCTGGATCAAAGTACCCAACATCTAATTTGTACTTTCCTTGCATTTCTACTGCTTATGCATCGTTGAAACATGAACTCCTAAGTGGACATGAATACATCAAAAAAATGGCAGCAAGAATGCTAGTCAAATTTGAGAAATATTGGTCTGGATTTTCTATTATACTTGCTATAGCTGTCATTTTAGATCCACGGTACAAATTTGCTTTTGTTGAATGGTGCTATAGAAAACTATATGAAGGTGATTATGAATCAGAATTAATGAAGGTTAGAGAAAAGTTATTTTCTCTATTTGGAAATTATAGTTCAACAAGTAATGAATTATCAGGACAACATACACGTACATCCTGAAATGTTGAAGTTGGAACATCAAGAAGTACATCTACAAGTATAGTTAAGTAACAATTTATTCAGGTATTAAGTTGGAACATCAGAAAAGTTATTCTCTACTCTCTACTTATCTAGTTAATTCTTCATTGAAACATTTTATGTTGTTTTTAAAACATTACCTTCCAAACACGATTTTCAGTCCTTTCATTCAGAGATTGGAATGCCTCGGAAATCAGAGTTAGAATTATATTTGGATGAGCCAAATCTAGATGCGGAGATTGATTTAGATATTTTACAATTCTGGAAGGGCAATCAATATAGGTTTCCTGCTATATCTGCTATGGCTCGTGATGTTGTATTTCTGTATTTCAGTGGACTCTAGCTTGTAGGTTGCTGGCTGCTGGTTGATGAATACTGAGTAGTCTTTAATTGTGGTAATTGATAACCATTTTTAGGATTTTTACATTTCTCTCATTCTATGCATTATGTTATTATGCTGCTGTCGTTCATTTATTTTCTCGGGCGTTAGGGCTGAGGCTGCTTCTATTTAGTTCAGTTGTTGCCTTGTTGCCTTGTTGGCTGCTGTAAGTCTGTAACCCGTTGCTAGCTGGTGTTTAGTTCAGTTTATGGCTGCTTCTGCTTGGTTCAGTTCTCGGGCCTGAGGGGTGAGGGCTGAGGGCCTGAGGCTTTGTGTGGGACTTTGGTTCAAAATTCTGTAAGGCTGCTTCTGTTTAAGTCTGTAACCCGTTGCTACTTTCTAGCTAGCTGTTGCTATCGGATGTTGGAAGTTGAAAATTGCAATGAAGCGATGATGAATAACCTTCTAAGATGAAAGTGGGAATCTTATAAGTGTAAGTTCTTATCATCTTATGTACTATTACAATTTACAACCAAGTGACAATTTTTATTAACTTAGAATAGCATATACTATCTTACAATCTTATTCGAAGAACAGATATTAAGTTAATATAAATTGTCACCTAGGATGGTAATTTGTCAATATGACAATATTGATTAAACTTACATCGTACATCGCAATGACCTCATTATGAGGTTAAATGATTAATGAATCTGAAGGTTTAATCTGAGCAGAGCAATATATTTTTTTACATATTTGAGTTTGCAAACTATATAATTGATTTTATTCCAGGTCATTGCAAATTTGAGGAGCAATTCGAGGAGCATTTGAGGAGCAATTCGAGGAGCATTTGAGCATTTCAATATATAAATGTATAATTGTATAAATAATTATTCTGATTTGAGATTAACTGATTAAGGTTGTAAATTTGAATGTTGAAATTTTGGATTGAGTTTGTAATTTTGTAAGTTGTAACTAAAACAAATGTGTAAATGATGGGTTTGTAATTTGACAACTTGTAAATTAGTATTTCTCTACAAAGATTAAAGATTTAAAGACTAATAGACTATAATTGCTATTTTGTAGTTTGTTGTTTGCACTTTAGTTCTTTTTTTTCCCCTTAAATTACAGTTAAAATTACTGTATATACGGTTAACCGGGTCGGGTCGGGTCGGGTTGACCCGAAACCGAGACGGGTCTGTTTCGGATTTCGAAAACCGCCCGTTTATAAAACCGGGTCGGGTTGACCCGAACCCGAATAAAGCCGGGTCAGTTACGGGTCGGGTCGGGTTCGACCCGTAACCCGAAATTGATAGGTCTAGGCTACGCACTCGATGAACAACAATGGTGATGTGATCAAGTGCGACGAAAACGTTGTGAGGCATGCTACAGAGCTCGTAAACGAAGGCATCACGAGACAAATGAAGTGTAAAAATAGAGAAATTTGCGTGACCTACAACTTTTAAGAAGACGAGAACAATGAATTTTCAAGCTAGTTCCAACTCAAATTCGAAGAAGATTAGAATAATGTTCAAACAAAAGTTTGAATATCAAAATTTATTTTTCACAAATTTTTTTGAGATAATTATATTTGAAATAAACTCACACTTTTTTCTCAACCAAAAAAAAAGGAAAAGAAAAAGGAAAAAAAAAAAGAAAGCCGTCTATAAAACAAAAACATCATTTTTAAAACATCACTAATTTATTTTTAATAAAGGTGTAAAGTCAAATACTTGGGGACTATATTGAAGACAATTTAAAATAGGTTTTAACCAAGGGGCATATATTCATTTATAATCCTATGCAATTTATAAAAGCTCTCCCCCCGAAATTCAATCTAATATCTTATGACATGATTCTCAGGTGAATCTGTTTTTCTCTTCTAGAAAACAATTATCTACTATTTTTTTTAGTAGTGGGTACTATCTTCTCAAGATGTGTTTCGTACATGCACCAATGAATTTTAATTTATGAAAGAATATAGTGATATCAACCCATATTTATTAAGCATCATACACTCTCTCTTTCTAATCCTTTATGGCATTCATTATACTAACGGTTTAGCTTTTATGAAGGAAAAAAATTATAATACTTACAACAATTTTTAAAAAATATACTTTTCTCATAACAATTACAGCTAATTTCATAGAAAACTGCAATCATCCGAATCAAAACAAATGAAAAAGAAAAGGCGCTTCAAATAATCAGATGTATTATGTAAGACATTCAAAAAATTTTACCAATAAAATCAACTTCCACCTGTATCATGTCAACTTGTTCACATTGATTGTCATGTTGATTCACAGATGTCAACTAAAAAAAATTTTTTTGATGAAATAAAATTTCTTGAGTGATCAGTATTTCTTTTTCTTTTTTATCGACTAACATGTCATTTGAGATCTCAAATGGCAAAAAAAGCAATTGTATAGTGCCCATATAATTCATGATCAATCATATGGAGTGCTATTACACACTCTCTCTCTCTCTCTCTCTCTCTCTCTCTCTCTCTCTCTCTCTCTCTCTCTCTCTCTTATATAGTTTCAAATTCATTTTATTTAGATGAATAGAGACAATGCAATGCATTCGTTCTTAGGAAACAAGTATTAAGCCACATAAGCAAAATGGCCCCAAAATGAATGGTTAAATAGACTCTACAGAACTAATCTATTAATTTGTTCACTTTCAAAGAAAAAACAACTATAAACTCTAATTCCAAATAACCAAACAAATCTAAAACAATGAAGGCTCCCCTCTGGCCTTGTCTGAAGTTATGTCACAAATTGATATGTGTTTTAGCTTAATAATCACTAATAGATGAGGCAACCACTTCAAAGCAAAGAAATCTTCAATAGTATTACAGATTTATTGAAAAAATATTGAATTACATGAATATTATAAATGCTAAGGTGGTGGCATGATATTATCTTACAAATTAAGATGTGTTTCAGCTTAATAATTGCAAATAGATGAAGCAAAACCCCAATTCAAAGTAGATGCATCTTCAGTTGCGTTACAGATTTATTGCAGAAATCTTTAATAAGAATACACAGACTAAAAAACATTTAAGGTGGTGGTAAGTAGTGAGCATCATGTGGAACCTGATATGGAGGATACATCACGTTGGTAAGTGCAGAAGTCTCCATTGCTGATCCAATTGTTTTTGTCTCAGGATCATAAGTTGACAGCCAGTTTATCTGCCATTAGAAATTCACTCAACGAAGCAGATTAAGAAGTAACATGTATCAGTATTTTATTGACTGTATAATTAAATGAAAAAAAAATCTGGGTTAAGAAATTCTAATCTAAATTTATTCATGGTATGATTTTTAAGTAATAGATTTATTTTGAGATGAATATAATATAAACTTTGACTGATTAAATATTCATCTAAAATAAATTCAGTAGAAAGAAAATAAACAAGTATAAGAAACATGGAAAATGCAACAGCATCTTATTGACAAGATGCTTAGATGGAAAAATAATTAGAGTCAGGATATTAATCATGATTCAAATTTGATTATGATGAATTTTTTAATAGTTGGATTTGTTTTAAGATAATTGTATTACAAAGGTTGATAGATTAATAATATATTATATATAACTCAAAGCAAATTTAATAGCCAAAAAATTAAATTTGCTAAAAAAATTATCCTTGTCAAATTTCAATGGCTATTTTTCAAAGCAAAAATTATTTAACAACAACAACAATATCAAGCCTTTGTCCCACTACGTGGGGTCGGCTACATGAACCCTTTTTCTCCATTGTGTCATGTTAAAAGTCAAATTCTTGTTTAAATCTAATAAAGAAAGATCATTTCTAATATTTTCTAACCAAGTCTTTTTAGGTCTACCTCTACCTTTCTTAACATAAGTCAAATCTAATACCTCTACTTTCCTAACCGGGTCATTGGAAGGCCGTAGTTTTATGTGACCAAACCATCTAAGGCGACCCTCTCTAATCTTATCTTCCACTAGAGCTACTCCAACCTTTTCACGTATATGCTCATTTCGTATCCTATCTCTAAGGGTAAAACCACTCATACACCTGAGCATCCTCATCTCTGCAACACTTAATATAGTATTATGTTTCTCTTTTAATGGCCAACATGCGACACCATAAAGCATTGCAGGTCTCACCACCATCTTAAAGAATTTTCCCTTAAGTTTGAGGGGGACTTTTCTATCACACAACAATCCCGATGCATTCCTCCACTTCAACCATCCAACTTGAATTCTGCTGATAATATCCCCATCTATTTCACCATCACTCTAACAATAGATCCAAGATATATAAAATGTGTACTCTTATTAATGACTTGATCGCCCAAAGTCACAATCCCCTCACTAGGTTTATTACTACTAAAATTACACTCCATATATTCCGTTTTAGATCTACTCAAGCGAAAACCTTTAGACTCTAAGGTTGACCTCCATAATTCAAGTTTACCTTTAACTCCCTCTCTAGTCTTATCAACAAGAAGAATATCATCAGCAAAAAGCATACACCAAGGTACATCCTCTTGCAAATGTCTAGTGAGAACATCCATGACTAAAACATAAAGATATGGGCTTAAGGCTGATCCTTGATGTAATCCAACCGAAAGAGGAAAATACTTGGTCAAACCACCTTGTGTTTGAACACAAGTAATAGCTCCTACATACATATCTTTAATGATTTGAATATAAGCATTATTAACTCCTTTCTTTTCAAGAACTCTCCTTAGCACTTCTCTTGAAACTTTGTCATATGCTTTCTCTAAATCAATAAATATCATATGTAGATCCTCCTTATTCTCTATATATTTCTCCATCAAACATCTCAATAAATGTATGGCTTCCATAGTAGGCCTACCTGGCATGAATCCAAATTGATTTTGAGACATTAGTATCACGCCACAACTTATGCTCAATAACTCGCTCTCATAGTTTTAAAGTATGACACATTAACTTAATTCCTCTATAATTCACACAATCTTGTGCATCACCTTTATTCTTAAAAATAGGAATTAACACACTCATTTTCCACTCATCAGGCATCTTTTTAGTCTTCAAAACAGTATTAAAATTTTAGTAAGCCAAGAAATTCCTTCATCTCCTAAGCATTTTCACACCTCTATTGGAATATCATCAGGTCCAACAGCTTTTCCACCCTTCATTTTCTTTCAAGCCTCTCTAACTTCGGCTTTACTAATACGCCGATAAAAACAGAAATCTTTATTTTTATTTAGGGTGCTAAGGTCACTAAAGTGAATCGTATTTTCACCTTTTTCATTAAAAAGTTTAGCAAAATATCTCATCCATCTTTGTTGAATATCATCTTCTAAAAAAAGTACTTTTTGATCTTCATCCTTAATACATTTTACTTGAACTAAATCCTTAGTACTCCTATCTCTTTGTTTGGCTAACTTATACATATATCTTTCCCCCTCCTTAGTTTCTAATTTATTATATAAATCATTAAAAGCTAAGATCTTTGCATCGCATATTGCTTTCCTAGATTCCTTACGTGCCTCTTTATATCTATCCCAATTATCAACATTTTTATATTTAAACTAATTTTTATAATAAATTTTCTTATTTTTTATTTTTTCTTGCACAATTGGATTCCACCACCAACTATTTTTATTATTAGGAGCTTTACCCTTTGATACTTGAAGCACATCTTTTACAATATTCTTAATATCAATAACTATTTTTTCCCACATAACATTAGCATCCTTATGCACAGACAAAATCTTAAGATCTAAAATTTTACTCTCAAATATATTTTTGTTAATATTCTTTAAATGCCTCCATCTAATCGTAGAATATCGTTTTACTTTATTTTTTATTTTATGTCATTTTATCTTAAAGTCCAAAACTAATACTCGATCTTGGGTACATAAATTTTCACTCGGATAACTTTATAATATTTACAATCTAAACGATCTAATTTTCTTATAAGAAAATAATCAATTCGAATTTTACTGTATCTAGTTTTATAAGTAATGAGATGCTAATCTCTTTTCTTAAATAAGATATTAGCAATTAAAAAATTATTTACCATTAAGTATTTTATTCCAAGATGCTGAAATGAAACATGGTTCTTCCTCGGGATCTTAGGAGCTAGGACGGATACATCACCAAAAATCACCTTGATATGGCATGAATCTCGAGGCATATTTGAATTGGAAATTTTTAAAATTAAATATGGGACCATCTTGTTGACCTCTATAATAGGATAACAAAAAAATAACAAAAAAGGAGAGAATGAACCATACATGCACGTCACCTGTTGCAGTAATGATGTTGCGGCTCTGCAATTAGACGCAGCTTTAGTCCATTCCCGCGTGTAGAAATCCTGCCCTCATTAGCATTATTAAAACGAGACAGAAGCCTCTCAGCTTCTTCTTTGATGAAAAGCTCCCACAAGTAGTAGAAACGGCTTGCCCTCTCTTCCTCATTCCCAAGCACAAACCTCAGAGCCGAAACCTCCTCCCATTTTGCTTCTCCCGTTAGATTCGCAAACCCCGCTCCAGCTCTCTTCTTCTTCCCGATTACACGCATAGACGCTTTGTTCTTCTTCTCTTTCCCATGCCTCCTCCTTTAGCAAAAGTCCATAACCCTCCAGTCGACCAATCCATCCATCCAAGCTTCTCCATTCAAAGCTTCCTGCATCTAATCGGCCCAGCCGAACCCCCTAACCTACCTCCTCCCTGTCATGTGATCTACAGGAGTCGCAACCTTCCAACCCAAACAAAACTAAGCTCCCGACCTCGCCAACCTTCGACCTAGCCCGTTCTTCCTCACCGGTTGTTTTGATTCTATAGAACATCTTCCACTCTATCTATCTTACAAAGCTAGAGTTGGTGGACCTGTACAATATCGTTGGATGTATCCTTTCGAAAAGTAAATGATTTCAGATTATTATTAAGTCTTCATAATAATAAGAATAATACGAAGCTAGAGTTAGTGAACATATTTTTATTAACTTGGTGATTGTAATTGTTTAATAGATATTTGAACAAGTTGAAAAAATATGTTAAGAATAAAGCACGACTAGAAGGATCAATATGTGAAGCATATTTGTCTCAAGAAACAACTCACTTTTGCTCATACTACTTTGAGCCTCATGTAAGGAGTACAAGAACAAAGATTGGTCGTAATTTGGATTTCGATGTAGAAAAACAATCACATGCTGCATTATCAATATTTAGAAGGCAAGGAAAGCCCAGTGGAAAATGTGAAAGATTTCTCAACGATTTAGAAATAAATACAACTAATTTGTATGTGTTACTGAACTGTGAAGAAGTTGAGTCAATCTTAGAGTAAGTTCTTGCATAATGTTAATAATGAGTAATGTTTATTGAAATACTAAAGTATTATTTGTTACCAGGTATTTCATAAGCAATTTGTCTTTGATAGATTCAATGCATATTGAGCAAGCTGTTGCAAATGAATTTCCAACTTGGTTCAGATCATATGTGAACACATCAATTTTAAAAATTTAAATCTTATTTATTATAAAATATACTAATATTTGAAAATGTTTCTAGGTACAAAACCATGATAATAAATGTTTCGATAAAGATTTGCAAGCACTAGCATGGGGTCCAATGCGAAAAGTAAAAACTTGGCTAATATATATAGTGAATGGGTTCAGATTTCATATTAAGTCGTGGAGTGAAAAAAAAATGAAAATTGTGGAGTATGTATTAGAGGGAACACTCATGAAGAAGATGAGTGTGATTATTATGGTATTCTGAATGAGGTTCTTGACTTGGAATACCCAGGCGAAGATGCGAATTTTGTATGCTTATTCAACTGTCAATGGTATGATCCAGTACAGAATAAAGGCACAAGGGTTCATCCTACGTATGGTTTAGTAGATATAAAACATAGTAGAAGATACGGGAAGTTTGTTCCATTTGTATTAGCAAGTCAAGCTCTTCAAATTTATTTCAGCAAATATCCCAGTGGTCGTAGAGGCAAACAAGATTGGCTAGCTGTCATAAAAACAAAAGCACGGGGAATAATTGATCAACAATACATTGTAGCAACTACACATCAAGAGGATGCGATGTAAAGTTGTAGGCCTGTTGAAATTGAGGAGATGCCAACTACAAACTCTAGTATTAAAATGGAATTAGAAAATGTGAATAGTTCAACTAGTTCAGGCGAAGATGAGAACGAGGATGAAAGTGAATATACCCTT